CGAGGCGTCTTTGATCGGTAGGAGCTAGCAATACCTGTGAAGGTAGCTACTCCTGAGCACTCTGTGCTGTGATTCTTTTGAATCGTTTGGTCCCTTAGGAACGGGGACCGTAAGCTCTCTGAGCTTGTTGACTCTCTGAGTCGGGTTCGTAGAACCAAAGTTGCTCGTAAGAGCGTTAAGTCTTCCTCTGACTTAAGGAGCTGTGTAGCTCCGCTACAATGTAGGTCAACATCTTTTATCTGTGCTAGAAGAGTATCGAGCAAAGGCTTACGTTTGATCATTCATCCCTCTATCGTTTCGCGCTTAGAGTTTGTCTGTACGACAAAAGGGTTGCATAATGCATTGTTGCTACATGAGTGAGCTAAGGGAACAAGCGCGTTAGGGCGTTGTTCGAGTCCGATGGGCGAAGCTATCGCTGCGTAGTGTGAAAGTATATCGTCCCGGCTGCAATTTTATGATTCTGTGTCTGCATGTATGTATGCATGTATGCATGTATGCATGTATGTATGTTCGTATGCATGTATGCATGTATGTATGTGTGGTACGCACACCCACGCGAACACGAGAGACGATCAAGATTGATCAAGAGTGAACAGCGCAAAGAAGCAAGTGCAGGACTCTTTGAGTCAGTAAAGGTACAGCACCTTCGGCACCGTCACAAGCGAGCGATAATAGCACCACAACCGCCAGCAGCGTAGCTCAACAAGCAATGACTCTGCCATCCATGGTCACTACGGGATCGACGCTGCTGCATGTCAATACGTCAGAATTCGCAGATGTGCTGACGTGTCGATGACGTTGTAAACGCCGTACACGGAGCTCTCACGCTAGACGTACCTCCTTTTGAAGCTTGACCGCTGCTACACCTCACATAGCACAACCCGTCCCCTAGCCGTCAACCCATTGCCGAGATGGGTCGCGAATATCCAGCACTTAGTTCAGTCTCTGAACTGGATGGTTTGCACCAAAAAGCTGGCCCCAGAGCTAGTCCCGATATCGGACGTGTATACTTCACATATGATACAATACGAATTAGACGTGGGCTCTGCCACTTCGTCGTTTGAACTGCTTACTAGACGAGGAGTTTCAGGGTCGTCTACTCGACCAATGCGGACGGACGAACAGAACAGGGGTAGCCCTTATTCTGCATCGCTTTCGAATGAAATTACACATCCACATTAGCGTCATAGCTTACTCTGGACGAGATTTGGTCAATATGCGGACTGAGATGTGCCTCATTGCTCGCAAGAGGGTCTTCGCACCCAATTTTTTTTCTTGCACATCTGGGCTGCTTCTTTTGTGCACCTCACAGCCCTTCTCTCGGTCCATTCTCTGGCTGCAAAGCGAAGCTGTTTCCGTTTCCCACAGGCATTCTCCTCGTCCGAAGTGCGCCACAAGACGCAGCCTTTGTCGGCACATCCGAACCAAATCCCGCTGCACCTTCCTTTCTTTAATCATAGCTTGACCAGCTTTCTAGCATCGCGTCGATGGAAACCAGCGACTCTCGACTATCAAAAGGTGGAACTAGCGTGCATTCCGCCTACTGCTTATGCTGACGTCTGCTCGCGACGCTATTTTTACAAAGATCTGTTACGATGTGCCTGCTCCGTTCTGTTGCACCGACGAAATATCGTGAAGATTAGTGAGCAATCAAATGTCGGGTGGTTTCCCGATACTTGAATGCTGTTACGAGCGGGCGCAGGTAAGCATACAAGAACCATGGCCAGCGAAGACACCAGGTAGTAAGCGTCTGTACACATGTGTGACCGTAGTCTTATATATTGCAGCCGCCACGGGCGCTCGCATCGTGGCTAAACTGGAGTCGCTCTCGTCAAAGTGGCTAAACTTCAGTGACTTACAGAAGCTGGCTCCATTCCGGGGAGTCGATCGTGCGATGTCGTAAAGCTGGATCGGGCACTGCTCTATCACGTGGAACTAAACGATGCCGCCCTTATTGTGGGGCAGCTTGGTCAGATCGATTCGTCAGTCGTTGCACGTTAGCCGACGGGCAGGTTAATGCCCAAACTGCAGCGTTTGCTTGATCTGGCTGTGGAAGGAGCATGGCAGCTACAAAGAGAGTACTCGAAAGGGCTTTGCATGACGTAGGCAAACTAACTGTCAGCAGGAAGGAAGTCGCACGGGTTTGTGTCTGCAAGGAACACCGGGCCCGTATCCTAGATTCGCTGATGACAGTAGCCGGATTGTGCAAGTAGGATGCAAAGATGGCGTCTGGTTGCCACAGGCAAACGCTTCTGTCAGAAAAGTATACGACCCAATGCGTCCAGCTACAAAGAACTTGGCCCTGCACTACAGGCGCAACAAGTCCTCGAGTTCTGATATCGACACAATAGGCAGGAGCCATCGAGCGACAAAAGTATGGGAAGCTATGCTTAACAATGCGAGCGCTCATTCGTGGACTCACCCTTGCGCCTCTTCGCAACTGCGGTGACGTGCGGGTGACGCACGCACGTCACTGCAGCGTTGCACCAGCCTTAGAGTGTGACGTGCGTCAACGAGAGAGAAGAAGAGACCGTCTATCCATTGCTCGAATAATTGATCGCGAAGATTCGAGAGTTGCCTGCGCCAGCAATGCCGGCGTCCGGCGATCTATCTGGTGGCCGTACGGAGCTCACCACTTCGTTCGGCACTCCTGTTTAGTGGGTGCAAAGAGCGTTTATGCTGAATAATGAGCGCATCCCTTGCCCCTTTGTATAAACCCGTCTCCGCTCTCGTCCGTAGCTCCTGCCCGCCTTGTCTCGTGTGTTCATGCGCACGCACGGAACACGCGTGGCGTCACGTTATGTGGCGCTGGCGATGAGCTCCGAGTAGAGACCATCCACCCGCCAATCATGTAAGGATAACTTCAACGAACAGCTCATTGCGTCTCGGCAGATGCTGACGTACTCAGCCACTAAAGCACTCAGGACCCCACGCGAGGGCCGAGTTGTCCCTTGGTGTCGTCTGCAGAGGTGTACAGAACAAGATCGCTACAAGACGCACATATACACTCGACGCTCAACGCTAACTCGTCGGGGAAATAATGCCCGAAGAGGCCTCCCACTCACTACATGTTTGCAATAACGTACCTACCTGTCTCCACGCACCGACAGCCAGTCGAGGTCGCTCTTCGGAGGCTGGCAACGTGTGGCCTGCGGGCGACCCTGTGCTTTCCCAGAGCGCAAATCCTACCTCCACTTCGTTCTGCCTTTGCACTCGTGGCCGCCTCGAGCCGCAGCCCGCAGCGAGAAAAAACGCACAGAGGGTCTTTGCTCGCGCTGACTGTTCCACTAGTCCCTCTTTTTTGCTACTCCCACTCGTCTCATTGAACTGGTCCATCACCACGTCCTCTCCTCACTTTCGTAGTAACGTGACATTAACATTAACATAACATGATCAAACTATTTGGGGCCAGTATGGCCGGAATAGCGCGAGAGGTCTCATGCCTCTCGTGCTGAGTATGGTAACCATTGGGTCGAACTAACGCACGTCATAGCTGCACCTTAGCTGCTCGTGACGTCGGTGCAGCTCGCAGAAAAGTCGTACGCCTCGAGCTTCACCACTAAGACCGTGACATTGTCCGTCGTGTGTCTTTCAAGTGCGAGGGCCACGAGCGCATTCGCCGCCGCCTGCGGGTCTCGATAGCGACAGGCCACGCGCGCGGCCATCTTACTGGACACCACGTCCCACAGCCCGTCGGTCGCCATCACGAGGAACCGATCGTGCTTTGCGACCCTGCGCGTCTGCACTTCCGGGTCGCACGTGATGAACGCCTTGAGCGACACGTCGCCAATCGACCGCGAGACCGCCAACTGGCCATTCACGCGCGGCACGTCCAGAATCTTCTTGAGCGGCCACATCTTGTACATAAAGCTCGGCTTGCCCGTGATGAACGCGCCCTTGGCTTTCAGGCGCTTGCGCTCGTCCTTGCGGCTCGGTTTCTGGTCCACGGACATGGCAATTGCTTCGCCGTGGCGCGTGACAACGATCGCCCGAGAGTCGCCGACGTTCCCGACGTGCAAGAGCCCGTCACGGACGATAGCGACGAGAAGCGTCGAGCCGTCGTCCGTGGCAAACGAGCGGCCGTGACTGTGCCGAGCAGCAGACGCTATGGCGGAGGTCGAGTAGCGGTGGGCAATGGCGCAGAAGTCGGCATCTAGAGACGCACAGCACAGAGCGAGCAACAACAACAACAACAACAATAACAGCAGCAGCAGCAGCAGAGAACAGCGAGTGAGCAAACAGGTGCGCGCTATGCACGAAAGACTTCCGTCACAAGAGTTTGCAGCAGCTCAGCTCAGCGACCGCACGTACGTACCGAGCGCCCGCACGGCGTTGGTGATGGCTTTCCTCGCGCTGAACTTGTGCGCCAGCTGGTCGAGGATCCTTGGGAAGATGTTCTCGGCGCAAAAGCGCGAGGCGCGGTCGCCTGCGTGGCCGTCAAAGATGCCAAAGCAGCCGCTGGCCGAGTCGGAGTATCCGTTCAGCGTGAGCCGCCCGACGGCTTTGCCGCCAATGAAGTACGCGTCCTGTATGACACCAGTCATCGTCCGAGTGGCAATATGGGCAGTCGGGCGAGCACCAAACAAAGCAAACACACCGACAGTGAGCTCCGAGGACACATTTGAGAGAGAGAGAGAGCGAACTGGCCGACAAAGGCCGACGACGTACCTCTTGACTGAACTTCGCGCCCCGGTCAGCGGCGATGCCCACGGGCACGTCGTACATGTCGTCGAGATGGAACGGCTTGGCGACTGGACTGCCGACGGTGTCGTTCACCGGAGACGACGCCAGCGGCTGCTCGACGAGATCGGCTCCCGTCATGTGCGTCGATCGGACGTCGTCGCGCCAAACGGAACGCGTCTGTGTTTCTGTCTGTCTGTATGTCGTTGTGGGTGTTGTTGTCCCCTCTGCTGCTGCTGCTGCGGTTGGAGACGTGTGTCGCGTTGCGCTCGCACCGATCAGTTCGTCGGGCGCGCGGGTAAGTGAGTGAGTGAGTGAGTGATGTGCGCTCGAGAGCTTTTTTTCGCAACTCCCGATCGCGAGCGACAGAGCTCCGCGTGCGCGTGGGCTCGTCGCTGGCCCGTGCGCGCGCAAGTCATGACCGCCGGTGCCGTTTCAGACTGGACGAGCGAGCGAGAGAGAGCCGTACCTCGAGTGGCCGTCATCTGCACCCGCAGAGTGGGAAGAAAACAAGCAGACCCCAAGTCGCCACTCGCGCCGTATCTCTCGCGTTCTCCCCCCCCTTTCTCTCTCTCGCTCTCTCTCTCTCTCTCTCTCTCTCTCTCTCTCTCTCTCTCGCTCTCTCTCGTTCTGCCCACTATGACCGGAGAGCATCACGAAGAACTTGAAGCACCGCTCTCAGGGGACAGAAGGGGGAAACAGCAGTGCGAAAACACGGCCTGTTCGAGAGCTGCAAGGACAGTTACGTGTGTGTGCGTGTGTGTGTGCGGGTTTGTTTACTCTGTTTACTTTGTTGTTGCTCTTGTCAATGCGTTCAGCGCCTGTTGATCACTAGATGACGAAACGCATCGACGTCCGTGTTGATGGCAGCATGTCAAGGAATCTCGCGGTACGGAGAGGCATCCAGGAAGTCCCCGCAGAAGCAGGTGGGGTCGTCCTACTTGCGGCGGTACACAGCCCGTCTCGCACGACTGGCGGTAGCCGCGCGTTCACTTTTACCAGACGACGCAATGCCTCCGAGGCCCATGCGCACTCGACACGTCCTGCGCCAACCGCTTGCTCCGCTCTCGAGCGACATTCGTTCTCGTTCCGACATCATTGGCGCCGTCTGGCAAAGTTGGGATCGCTGCTGACACAAGCAACAGACTGTGGACTGCGGACTGTGTGAGGACTGTGTGTGGCCTGTGGACTGTGGCCGGTGGACTGTGGGCTGGAGATTTGGCGCCCTGGAGCTGGTGACCACAACGGGCCGTTGCAGCACCGGACATTGTGCGCAGCCGAACGACATATCATACGCAATGCGCGACATCGTGGCCAATGTCGTTGCTCCTGTCACACGCCAACGGGTCGGCGTCGCGACATAGACGGGCGGGCAGGCAGTGCCAAGAGGTGCACCTGTTGGTGGGGGTCGCCTCTTTCTTAAACGTCGCTTCACTCACCTGTTCTTTTGCGGATTAAAGCGGTCAGATGAGACGGACCCAGTCGACGACCTACGCCGCAGCTGGTGTCGCCGCTATGGCGCGCGAAGGCCACTGATTGGTCAGTCAGCGCGATGGATTTCCCGCCAATCCCCAGTCTCTCGGTGCGAAAAGACCCACAAGAATGGCTTCGTTCGATGACTTAGCCTTCACGCGTTCCTCTGTACGTCGCTCTACACCGCGTGTGGCGAGACGTTTTTTGACGGCACTGGTTGAGAGTTCCTATTGCTCTTACGATGTGGTCGGCAGACTGGCGCGGCAGCTGAGGAGCTCTTTTGCAGAGACTGTAACGAAGTGCCACGAGCGACGACAACAGGTGAGCGGGTGGGAATCTGTGGGTGATCGATCACTGGGGTCGGTGCTTGGCAGCTGATTGTGTCGTGGAAGTCTAGACGGCAAACGATGTATAGTCTGCGGATGTGAGCTGAAGCGTCGAGAGGAGATCGCATTGGGGCACGTACGATCGATCAGCAGCGCTTCGTCCAGTGGCTCCAGAGCGCCATATCTTTATCATTGACACAAGCATGGACACGTGACAACAACGGTGTGCTTGTGGTACACAGGGTACCTCTGAGACCATGTTAGATCAAGCTGCAGCGAGTGTGCAAGAGCTGCAGACGGTAGTGATGCGACTGCTGAGCCAAATTGGTGGCGACTGGGATGGCGTGGACACGGGAACGCGGCGCCCTGCGTCCGATGAAGCCGGTGAGGTGGCTGCACTCTTTACTGTTTTGGTATATCTTTGGCGGGTGGCGACGTCTTTGATACCGTGGTGGTTGTAATATTGTAGTACGGAACTTGGGGTCTTTTGTTGCCGATCAGGCGGCAACGATTGAAGTGGCAGTCATTGTGGACGGCATCAAAGGCGAGGTACGTCGGCGATCATTCTGCATTGGCCTAGTTGATAAAAGCTTGAGGATACTGAACACGGACGTGCTACTGTCGTTCGTCTTTGGCCAGGTGGTTGCTATTCCAGCTAATTTTGGCCCGTGTGCGTCAATCGAAAAGCGCAGTGTGATCATAGCCGACCCTTTTGACGGTGCCAACTCATTTCGAAATGCCGATTCAATGAAGGACAAGGTATTGGTTCTGAGATTGGCCCGTGCAGCGCTGTACATGTGTTTCGAGTTTTGATTGATCAATTCGTTTGCTGGATACAGATCGTGGTGATGTCCCGAGGTGGCTGTCCGTTTGCTCGCAAGGTTCTGCGTGCACAAGCTGCGGAGGCTGCAGGCGTGATCATCATCCAAACAGTCGATGTGTGGCCGTACACGATGACTGATTCTACCGGTGAAAGCGAGAATGTCAAGATTCCTGCTTTCATGATAAGCTCAAAGCATGGCAAGGGGTGTGTGGCGTACATCCATGCAGCTATTGTCGTGCAAGATGCTGACGTGTAGTGGACCCTTTGCTTCTCGCTGCAGCTTTGTAGAGTATCTTCGTGGCGAGCACAACGAAGGCGTTTTTGCCGATATTGTCGTGCGAAAAGATGCACTCGAGTGCGTCATTTGTCAGGTGGAAATGTCCATAGGGATGGAGGTCACGCGGATGCCATGTCAAGTACGCGCTTACATTTCGATACCGACTTGAGGTACCTCTCGCTGACCATCTGCGCTTTCGTGTTCTGTTTTCAGCACATGTTCCACACGGCGTGCCTGCACGAGTGGCTGCAGGTGGGCAATTCGTGTCCAATTTGTCGCGTGACGATCGCTGCCAAGCGCACTGGCCACAACGATCTATCGACTGGTCTGAGCGCTCAGCAGCGCGGTGATTTTGCGTGGAGCGAGTGGTTTTCCTGAATAGACGGTCAAAGCTGCGGCATGTCGTTCCTTTGCTCGTTTTGCCTACAATAGTTGTTGCCGGTCCATTATCTGAGACGAGCATTTGCGCCCGTGCTGCGGTCACAATTCGTACACATTTGTTTACAATTCAGGATAACTGGCTGAAAAGACAAGTTCACATGTCGACCGAGTTCTTCGCTTCGAGCGCAGTGGCCACGGGCCCGGCCTTCTGTCCCCACTGCGGCACGATCCTGGACCACCCGGACACCAACAGCATCGTGTGCTCGGCATGCGAGTACCGGTGCCGCTACCAAGGTGGTTCCTCCGTTTGCTGGCCGTGCTTGGCCTGTTGTAACTAACTTTGTCGAGTGCCGATTGTGTGGACACAGACCTGCCGTCGTTGACTGTTGTCACTTGTAGCGAGGACAAACCAACGCCCAAGTGGTTGGACGCTGAGAAGGTGATGAGCGAGGTCACGGGTCCGGCCCGTGCAACAGTGGAGGAGACGTGCCCCAAATGTGGCAACCCCGAGATGGACTACTACACACTGCAGCTTCGCTCGGCCGATGAAGGCCAGACAGTGTTTTACGAGTGCAAGAAGTGCGGCCACAAGTTCTCGGTCAATAACTAAGGAGAGGAGGCGATGGCTGATCGCGCGCGCATCGCATATCTATCGATTCCATTGCGTGTAGCAGCACGACGCTAGTGGCGCACACTAGTCTAGAGGGTGTAACTTGTAGGTGTTGTTTACGCTTGATCTTGTTTTGTGTGCGTGCATCGTCAACTCGGTGGTCTTCATGTTGGTGGCGGAAGACAGTGAAATACGCAACGAACTGCTCGTGCACGAATGGGGTTTGGCGGTCAACGCACACCGAAACTTTTCATACGAGAGAGCGCATCGAGGTGAACGTACGGGCAACACGAGGAGAATGGAGCAACGCATGCGATCAGAGACATTCATACGATTCGCCCGAGCGCGTGCAGGTTTGTCGCAACGTTTGGCAGTGGATCACGACCGAGTCTCACGTTGGCCACGAACCCTTGCTTTGTCGAGCCATCGTTTCAGGCCCAATCGGTTTTCTGACAATCGACCAGCGCGTAGGCAGCAGATGCCCCCGTTGGTGCCTAAGACCGACGGTGCATCACGCAAGAGCTACCAAGCTCGAAGAAGGCAAGACATGTACTGTAGGCGTGAATCATGTCGCAAAGCCACCGAGACAAGAGCCCAATCTGTTCATGGATTCCGTAGAACGTCACGTGTTGATCAACAGATCGGACACTTGACTGAGGCATCCCCTGCAGACAGCGGCAGTGGATTGGGTGATGAACGGACAGTTGCGTTGCGGATGCTCTTTGCTACGAATTCAAGTCATTGCAGCACGCTGGTACAACGATGAGCAAGTCTACTGCGCTTGCCCGTGCTCGATTCACACATGCATGCAGCCGACACGTCCAACTGACTTATTCATTGGTCCATCGCCGGTGATTCAGGCAGATGCTGGGAGATCATCGACGCGGCATGAACGAGAAAAGGTGTCACCCATTTCTGCGGCACGACGAGGATCTGCCGCACTCTGCTTCCTGTACCAAAGCGGCTGTCCCATCCATGTATCTGGAACAGAGCTCATTGAAGTAGACGAATGCAGCAGCAAAGGTAGTACACAGGCGCGTCAGTCGCTTCGACCGCTGTCCACTAACGTAAGCCAACGTAGAAGGGGGGCGACAGTTGCGAAAGACAAACGAACGTTCGAAAAAGCAGGTGCTTCCGACGAGGCTGGAAATGACTACGGGTCATCACTCGCACTTGTGTGGGACGCCTCAGTAGACGTGGTCCTGTATTCTGTGCCGCCTCCCACTATCACAATCATGTGCTTACGCTTCGAACTGAGAACGGACAAAGATGCTCAACAGCTGTAACCCGTTTGGTAGACGACGAATGCGGTAGCGCTGACAGCTGCACACAACGGTCAAGTGGCAGACGACTGAACGACCGCAACGACACTGATCGATGATACATGAGCGACGCATGTCGCTGCAAGTAGCGCAATCGCAAGTCGAACGCACGCACTGCCAGCGCAGAATGGATCGGTGTCTACAGTCAACGAGACGCTCCACACTCTGCCTCTCCGTCCACCACTTGTCACCTGCTTGAAGTAAGCAAAGACGCTGTAACACACGACATTTGCAATCGAGCTCTCCTTTACGTACGTCGCCGATCATCGGCTCGCTCCGTGCAGATAGGCGACCTCCGCCACCTCTTCCCACCCGCCTTTTCTCTTGTCCTCTCTCCGTGCTTTGTCGTCACGCGCAACTTCAACATCGCAACGTGTCCATCGCTTCCATCATTTAATCCGGACCGCCTCTCCTTCCGTTGCTCGACAGCGCCTCTGCGTTATGTTGCTCCGAGGTGCCCAAAATAACCCAAAATTAAACACCGCAAGCGCTCGAGCGCCATGGCCGACGCGCCTGCCTCGTCGTCTCTGTCTCCTCCTGCGCACGCGTCACCGTCGCCTTCCGCTCCTTCTGCTCCTCGTATGCTCCAGGACCCTCCTGCAGACATGCCAGCAAAAAGCCGGCGCTCATTGCGCCCCTCTTCCGCTGTCCGTTCCGGAACGTCCGATACAAACGTCAAGAATAAAGGCAGTCAGAGCTCAAGTTTCTCGTCCCCGCTCCCTCCGTGCCCCGAAGACCCTCCAGCGCCGCCGCCTCCTTCCTGTACCCCGCCCAAGTACCATCCGCTGGAAGACGACGACGCGCGCAGTGTTGAGAGCGCGGACGACGTCGTCGAGCCGCCCACGTTCCCTACACCCCCACCTCCTCCTCGTTCTCCACCCGCGACATCGCCACTAGGAACGCCACCGCCCCCGCCTCCTTTCTCTCCTCCAAGTGCTAAACTTGCAGTGGACTTGTCAGGCGTGCTACAAGGTGCAGTACAAGACGTTGAGGACCCTCTCGCTGCTGCAACTACTGCTGCTGCTGTTTTTCAAGCAAAAAGAGACGGAAGTGACGGAGAAGAGGGAGACGACGAGATCGACGATACAGGACAATCAGCTGACGTGGCGTCAGCAGCTGACGTCCCGTCGTCGTCGTCAGTGGTGATTGCGTCCATGAGAAGTGCAGCAGGGGAAAAAGAGATCATGGCTACGGACTTTTTGCGGGAAGTGCCGAGTACAAAGCCCCGATTTTATATTGGAGATATCGAGAACTATAGCATCATTGACAAGGTCGGATCTGGGACGTATGGGTGCGTTGGTGAAGGGCGGTGTTGTTTTTTGCGCGGAGCGAGACGTGTGGAGAGACTTACGGCAGATGTTGTTGCAGTGAGGTGTTCAAGTGCCAGCATAAAGTGACGAAAGACATTGTGGCGCTGAAGAAGCTGAGGCCGGACGTCGAAAAGAATGGGGTACAACGTGCAGTGGTCCTGTTTATGTTACTGGAGTGGATTAGTTGTATGACGTGTATGTGCATGTATGCACCTGGTCTGGTATTGTATTGCAGTTTCCTGTTACCTCAATTCGCGAGATGAAGATCCTCAAGTACCTGAAACATCCGAATATTGTGGAGCTGAAAGAGGTCGTAACGTCAAGTGGTACGTTGATTGTCTTGCCACTTACATACTTACAGACTGTCTTAACAGTGCATGTCATGTTCATGCGTCGTGCCGCCCTTTCGTCAGCTTCTCCCAAAGAAGGCAAAAGGCCGCCTTTGTACTTTGCGTTCGAGTATATGGAGCACGATCTCTCGGGACTGCTGAACCACCCACGCGTGAAGTTTACCCGCACGCAGATCCAGTGCTATATGCGGCAGCTGCTCACCGGTATTGCGTTCATGCACCGCAACAAGATTATTCACCGCGATATAAAAGCGTCGAATTTGCTGCTGAATAATCAGGGCATGCTCAAGGTGGGCGACTTTGGCCTCTCTAGGTTTTGGAACGAGGTAAATGCTAAGGCCGGAAGATACACAAACAAGGTTGTCACGCTTTGGTACCGGCCACCAGAACTGCTGATGGGCTCAACGTCATACGATTTTTCAGTGGATGTCTGGTCAATCGGCTGCATCTTTGGCGAGCTACTCGTGGGTAAACCCATTTTGCAAGGAAAGAATGAGATTGAGCAGGTTTGTAGTTTCGGATGCTAGGTTTGACTCTGGAGTGATTTTCACTGTGACTCCTTGCACTTTGCGTGTACCTAGCTTCAATTAATATTTGGATGTTGCGGCACGCCGACAGAAGAAACGTGGCCTGGATTTTTCAAACTGTCAGGGTCAGACAGTTTCCAGATGGATGACAAGTATGTCTGCCCGCTGCGCAAGAGGTTTAAAAAGTAAGAACTCTGCTGCACACCGTCTTGTATGTCTGACTGACCCGGTAGTATTGTTACGAATGCGTAGCTTTCCGCCGCACGCTGTGGACTTGCTGGAAAAAATGCTGCAGCTAGATCCTGCTAAACGAATCACAGCTGCAGAAGCTATGGACCATGACTACTTTTGGCGTGTGCAAACGTGCAAGCCGCGAGAGTAGGCTGTCTATTCGAGCTTGATTGTCCTGTAGCGTCGCATGCACTCATCCGTTTTGTTGCTGTTGCAGTCTACCGAAGTTTTCTGTATCGTCTACACACGAATACCAGTCGAAAAAGCGTCACCACGACGAGATGGCAGTGGCCGCCGCGGTGAATGGTGGCAAGACGAAAAGTGCCGACCAACATCGCAACGCGCGTCAGCGAGGCGAGCAAAGTGGATACCGTGAACGAAACGACTACTATCGTTCCAGCCGCTCCGATCGCAGCAGACCCTACCGCCCACAGCGTCCCAATGACTGCTACGACCGTGGTCGTAGCCGGAGCCGGAGTCGCGAGCGCTACCGCGACCGAGGGGATCGTCGTGACCGTGAATACGAGCGCTAGTGTGTTTCTGGTGAGGTACAAACAGCGCCCAACTGTTATCATTATCTATGCAGTCCAACATAGAAGTGTCTTGCCCTCGATTTTCAGTGGTGATTCATAGTTGTGCATCTATTCGAAACCGTTGCCTGCTACCACAAGTGAAAACTTTCTCAAACACCATCAACTAGTTTCAATGTTTACCCGATGTGATGAACGGTGGTACACAAAGGCTTCGGGTGTAGCGTCATGGAAGACGATACAAGATGGATTAATACGGTGACGCAGACTGAGATCCTTCCATAAAATCCAATGGCCATGGTGTCGGAGCTATGGACTACGCTACTCTTCACATATCACGATACTGGACTGCAGCAGCGGCCGACTATATCCCGTCTCGACTGCGACGTTTGTGCAGAAAGTCGGTACTGTGCGCTCGCTTCTTCGGTCCAGGCCACATGTTGCTGCGACCATCTGCTGCGCCGCCAGCCTTAAGGTATCCCCTCCTGCTAAACTTTGTCGTCGAGATACCTCGCGCGGATCCTCACGAATTGCTCTTTTGTCTCGAACAGTTTCTCGACATTAATCAGTCCGTCACAATGGTGGGGCCCGACCCGCCATCGTGTTGTGCCCCCTGTAGTGGTGCGTCCAGCTCCTGACGCCGAGACTGTTCATTCGAAGCGCCGGGGGGAGGGGGTTCGAGGCGGCTTTTGATGGAGCTGGTATCAACTGGTCATTGCACTGTTACCAATAGCGTGAAGCGGAGTACAGCCAGCCTCTACTGCCCGATGCAGTTTGTGAAAAGGCGCCCAGTAACTCGTCGAGTTGTTCGTCAACAGAGTACAAGCGTTCGACACGCTGAGGCCCAGCTGTATTGCTCGTATGGCGCCGAGCTATTACGGATCGAAGCGCACCTGATCCTGCCCTCCTCTCGATCTTCCTCGATCATCCATCAACGAAAGGCACGTAGAAACTTAGCACAGGAAGTGGGTAAGCATACCCTTCGACATTGCCGATCCGCACTCCTATTTACAGCACTGCCATAGCTGACAGCGCATTGCATCGTAACGTCACGACCTTTCGGAGTCCGAAGGAGTCACCTGCATGAAGCACGCGGCTTTTATGACAATTGTTTTTGTGGCGACTACAGGCAGCAGTAACACTCGGAGTATCATTGATGGGCTTTTTGCATGGCTTTTGGAGTGGTTAAACGTAGTAGTTTGTAATGAATAATTTTAGATGGATTTTGCACTCGGTGTCTTCTATTGAAATAATCAAAATTGTTTTACCGATCTTATAGAACTGTTTTTAATGATTACTTTTCATCCTACCGTTCGATCTAATTCAAATCTACGGAATTCAATCATGGCTAGTTTTACGCTCTATTCGATTTTGTTTGATACCAGCCAGCAATATCATCGACCAAGTAGTAGCGCGAGTAAAAAATTGATTAGAGGAGGTAGCCAGCATTCGTGCTTATCGTCAAACCAAATGAAGTGGTCGACTAGAATCATCCTGATATATGTATACTACGTTAGCTAAATTCCCCTTTTACCCTTTTCAGACACATATCATGTGCGTTTGCACACCCTTCTTTCCTGATCAGTGTACATTAATTTTGGATGCACGAGTCTAGACAATCATCAATCCAGCGAGCCCATGCTGCTACCAGTAGCGCAATGCGTTCCGTAACACTCGGCTCACATACCCCTCATCTCAAAGCCAAAGTCAAATACAACTGATACATAAGATTGTGATGGTCGCCATGAGCCCCACATCAACCTTGCTGCAAGTAGATAGGACTTGGGTAGCAGTAGGATCAATATACTCTGAAATTACAATTGCGTCCTATCGCTCCTGATAGACCTCGCCTGTCCTTGCCCGTAAGTCTTGCTCTCTACCACCCGTTTTATTTCACTGTGCCCTATATGTCGACAAGCATGATCAAAACGTCACGCTTTTGCACAAGAGCGACATCAGTCGACATGTCGCTATTCAACACTCCTCCTCGTAACTGCTGCCGTTGTTTACTTTCCTCACGCCTCGTGCGTTGCATCACGCTGCCCGCATTGCACGCGATCTCTTGATTTTCTCATTTTCACTCACACGCGCACCTAGGCCAGCTGCATCAAGCTGCGCAACGTCGCGAACATTGACGCGTCCAGGACTTGGTAATCAGATTCGTAAACATGAGCTCCGGGCGGGCGTACTACGTCATCACGATACCTCGGCGCGCGAAGTCACTGATGAATTTGTGCCGCACGTCGATATGCTTATCTTTCAAGCTCGACGCCTCTCCGTAGACTTGGTGTCAGCCTGGCTGTTGATGTCAGGACCACCCATATCGGACTGATTGGTGTACAGCCATTGTGCTCTTGATTAAAGTCAGATCGTTTCGTTTACATTCATGATTCCTATGCTAGACTAAACAGGTTTATAACGTTTGCGCAATCAGGAGGGATGATATCCATCATTGGTCTAAAACATAGGATAGGCGATACCATTATGTGTAAGCTATACAAAACAAAGCTAATGGTGAGAAAAGCTTAACTATATTTACTTCTAAAGTTACCTTGTTCGTCACACGTGTTAGCACTTGTCGGTCCCACTACTCTTCGCCTTCATCGCTGTCCGCCCGCCACCATCGCTGTCCGATCGTCTTCTTCGTTGACCGCCCGTCTTTGGGGCGTCTCATCGCTTGTCCTCGGGCATGTTGTTTCTCCTCGCGCTTGTGGTGTATCGCGTCTGCTTCTTTGTTGGAGATATTGCGCGTAGCGTGAACATTACCGCTAGCAGTTCACAAAAGCTCCATCCATTTGAAGGCACTGCCTAGCAGTTTCGAGTGTGTTATTTTAACATCCACTATGTATCTAAGCGTCTGCTTTGCAGGTAGAGCCACTTAGTCTGTGCGAAGTTGGGCACGGTCTGAATCTGCAAATCAGCTAATTTATCGGGAATAAGGCTGAATCTTAGACGCTGTAAGCTTTTTGGCTTTGTAAGTCGTCAAGTTCTATAAGCAAAAAGCAAAAAGCGAAAATCTGGATCTCAAGTATCCTTCGACGGCAGCAAGTCTTCCTGTTCGAGTGCACCGAAAAATCTGCACAAACGGCTAACGATCTTCCAGCGTCCGTTAGGAAGACTCGACGCATCGTCAATATTCTGTCCAAGCAGCTCACCAAGTTGAAGGCAATTCTTCCAAAATAAGGGAAATCCTTATCTGAACCGCTTCATTAAGTCGACGCGCTCCTTCAAGAAGTCGAGCTAACCATTATTAAGTATCTTCGGTACAAACAAAAGGGACTTAGATACAGTAAAGAAGAAAATCTTACTAATCTTTGGATCATGGCGCAACCTATCAATGTCGAGCTGATGCAAGAAATGATGCGGATGCTACATAGACAGCAAGGGATCATTGACAACTTAGCTCTATCTCATGATGCAGGAGGCCTTAGGTGGACGAGTTTAAAATGCTGACTTACAGCGGACGAAGTGAGGAATCTACTCGACTTTTCTACGCGCAAGTAAAACAATATGCTATTGCGCGTGGAACGAGGTGGAAAATTGAGATCGTGGCACCCCAGATACTCTCTATCTTGGGAAACTTATTGCGCGGACCAGCCGCACAGTGGTTATTAATTCACCATGAGGAAATACACTCGGTGGCTGAATTTTTCCTCGATGTGGAAAAACAATCTATTCCTGCGGGTCTTCAACAACGTCTGCAAGATGAACTGTATCGTATTAAATAAAACCAGTGCGATGGTTTGATGGACTGTAATGTGAAATTCCGAAAAAAAGTTCTCAAGTGGAAGAAATGACTGAGATAGATCAAATTATCTATTTTCAGCGAGGATTAAGACAGAGAACGCAGGAAGAGGTTCAAAACCGCCGTGGTGCAACTATGGCCTAGGATATTACGGTTGCACTCGATCTCGAACGCGCAGATTCGGAGATTTACGACAAATATGCCACCACAAGTTCGCGTCCTAGTGGACATTATGTGACTAGAGAATCGATTGATGCGCCCGAGCCAATGGAAATCGACGATGCTCGGCCATTTCAAGGGCATCGCGAGTTCAGCACCAACATCGTCGTCCGAACAGACCTAAGTGCGCGTACTATAAGAAACTTGGGCATCACATCGAGCAGTGTTACAAGCGCAAAACACGCTTATGTTTAACAATACCAGATTTCATCATAATAGCGCGAACATAAACTTCTTTGTAGACGAATTCGTTGAAGATGAAGCTGTACAAGAAGAATCTGTTGAAAAAGTGTCTGTGGAAGAAGAGGCGGTAGCCCCAACTTGACATGAAGTGATCACTACACTAGATGCAGCTACCTTTGCGCCTTTAATTGGTAAAGATTTGATAGTCGAACAAGGTCATCTTGACCATCGTGTCGTCAATGTCATGCTCGTTTCGGGAGCAACATGCAACGTGGTCAAGCCAGGGTTTCTGCACTGTGTCATGTCGGAAGCATGTTAGAAGGTGAGTTTCAAGGTGATGAACCAAGTTTATGGTACCTGTATTGGTTACGGGTTATCATGGTGACGCCGAACGGTTAAGAAGGTTCCACCTACTGGATTATTCTACAGTGCGGGTGGGAGCTAACTATTAAAACCAAATACAATATTAACATCTCTCTCTTTCGCATTTTTAGTGTGTGTTTGCTTCAGCCGTTGTGTTACAAATTCAGCATTTTACTAAGTAACCATATAAGTCACTTGTTTCGACGGCACTAACAACATCATAAAAAAGGCGAGATTCTAAAGCATGACAACGAATAGCTAATAACTGATTTAAAATTATTGTTAACTAAGATGCTGCAGCTTCAAAACCAAAATGGTGTTGTTTTGTAAAGTGATGATTAATTAATCGAAAAGGTGTTGCAAACATCGCCTTTGATGGGTATCGTTTTTTGGGATTTCCTGTATTTAAATGGACAATGAATAATCCTCATGATGTAAAATTGTAAAATTTGGTTTACTGCACATGATCCCATTTTAGATTTGCGCACCCATG